AACGTACAAGATTTTACCTGACCCGACAATATACAGAAGGTTACGAACAGTATTTTTCACTATCCATTTCACTCATCTTCTAACAGTAACGTTCATTTACAAACAAAAGCTAGGTTAGGAAAATTCTTCAAAACATAACAATAAAATTCAAGCCCACAAACTTCCCTATCCCAAGCGTGATGTATACAACTTCCTTACTTCCCGAGTGATGTAAAGCTGAAAAAAACTCACTCGGTGATGTAATGAAACCCATTTAAATAACATTGAGTGCTTAACTTAAAAAATATACCTCTATGGAGGCATCGACGTTCAACGCTAGAAATCAGCTGTGGGCTTGAATGTTATTGTTATGCTTTAAAGTATTTCCCTAACCTAGCTTTTGTTTGTAAAAGAACGTTCTTGTTAGACGATGACTGAAATGGATAATGAAAAATATTGTACGTAGCCCCATGTACGTTACACGTTACGCAAGAGCGTGTTTACATCTCTTAGGTGAATTATGCTACTCGCTTCCGCTCGTTGCACAACAGTCACCTGCGTGATGTAAAAACGATCTTACTACACTTGTAAGGTAAATAGCTATTATAATTATCACTGTATTGATTTCAGGAATAACTCACTATGGACTACACCTGTTTTTTTAATTTTGATGACGGTATGTGGATGATTATCTGGATAATCTTTGAGTGTTTTTATATAAAAAATATTGGAAGAATTCCACTGATTGTGATGTAGTTCTTTCAACTTTTAACGAAATGCCCCAACTCGCAATCCTCAACAAATTACGGTTAAAATGTTTGTGATATTTTCCATTACAACCCATAGTTATGCCCAGCGCCTACCAAATGATTTTCCCTACAATAATGGTAGGAAGTTAAATTTTAACGACAGGCTAATGGGGTAAGTATGTGCTAAGACAGTTTTATTGCATTGTTTATTAAAATTACCGTTACTAAGTTGCCTTATTTAATTACTGATATAGTAATTTACAAGGAAGATTATAAAGGATTTTCATTATTTAGAAGAATAAAATTATAATTTCTTATTACAATGCATTGGAGTAATTTGTACAGAATCCTACCATCTGAGGGAAATCACCAAATGATAGGTTATCACAGCAAACACCATCGCAGAGTCGCAGAGGGGTCGGGTGGCGCAGTGCTCCTGGCCGTTCTGCGAGGGAAGGTGTCTGAGGGGATGGACTTTGCAGACTCACAGTGTCGCGCAGTTATCATGCACAGGACTGCCGTACCCTCCGTTCAGAGATCCGCGTGTTGTGCTTAAACGAGAGTACATGAAGAACGTGCAAAATAAAAACGGAATGGCTCTGTCAGAGCACCAGTGGTACTTATCGGAGGGTACAAAAGCTGTCAACCAGGCCGTGGGGCGACTGATCCGTCACGGGAGCGACTTTGGTGCGCTGTTACTCTGCGACTATCGCTTTGAGAAAGAGAGTGTCACCAAAGATCTCTCCGCCTGGATGCGACCCCACATCAACAAGAATGCAGAGTTCGGACCTGTTTATGAAAGAGTGTCCAAATTCTTTAAAGACATGGAGGTCAATAGAACCGGGGAGGATATCAAAAAAGCTGTTTGTGACAGTTGTCCTAATAAACTGACGGATTCTTATGTTGAACCTGCTCAGAAAAAGCGCAAACTAAAGAATCAACCGCTTGAGTTTGACTCAACGAGCTCGGAAAGTTCTGATACAGCTTCCACCCAGCAACCGGCCAAGAGCACGGTTGAGTATGTCCGAGAGGTTAAAAGTACACTCGAGAAAGAAGAGTTTAAGATTTTCAAAGAAGCAGTGAAAAACTATGGTTCTAACAGTGAAAACTACAGCAGTTTGGTTTTAAATCTTCGTAAAGTATTCTCGGATCCGTCAAGAAAGGACTTGTTCATTGAGTTCAAGAACTTTATCAAGGCTGAACACGTCATCAACTTCGATGATCTGTGTTTGAAACTGCTTGGTTCATCTTCGCTATGATTAGTGTTTCGATTCCTAAACTCAACTAGACTGATCTCTGTGATAACTTCATGCTGTGTTGTTTATTCTGACTTTGTAGTTATTCTGACTCTGTGATAAGTCTCACGTCTGTAATATGTTAACTTTTTTGATATATTCAACTCAGGTACCTACTTATTTTTATAATTTTGATAATGAATTACTATACTAACGTTATTAATTAATGTACATATTAAATTTATCATGGTTGAAAAAAAAAATTCACTTCTTTACACTACCCAGTACCCCTGTATAGGCCAATCACCGGAGAGTAGGTAGGCAAGATTTAATTTAGAATTATTATTCTTCAACACCAAGCTAACAGCTAAGATGGTGTTTGCTGTGATAACCTATCATTTGGTGATTTCCCTCAGATGGTAGGATTCTGTACAAATTACTCCAATGCATTGTAATAAGAAATTATAATTTTATTCTTCTAAATAATGAAAGTCCTTTATAATCTTCCTTGTAAATTATAATATTACTATATCAGTTATTAAATAAGGCAACAGTCTTACTTGGTAAAATTCCTATGATCTGACTGTCTTAAATAGGCTGTGATTCCCAGTTCCTACGGACTATGACTGTTTCAAGTACAGTAGGCCTAATGCTTGAACTCGTCTGTAACAATTCCAAAAGAAATAATAACAGGTAAACTAAAGTAATACTAATTTCACATAGTTGAGGCAAACATAATTAATTTAAGGTGATTTTACAATTTACAAAATATTCTCAGAACATGTGCTTTTTCATCCAAATGTAACATGAAAGTTGAGTATTTAATATTTGACATTTACAAAGTTACTAACTGACAGACAATCAAAAGATTATATATAATCATAGGTAAAAACATGGCAATCAAGATTATTTACAATACAAAACCACATAAATCAATTTTCTTATTTTTAAAATGTTTACTACTTACATTTTTACGAGTTTGTACAATTTTTAAGGGAATCAGCCAACTAAGAAAGATTTGAAGAAACAGCTCATTACAAAAATGACTTTAGTTAATTAACAGCTGTTCTCCAGTTCTGCCAACAAGGTGAAGTGTAAAATAGTGAAACTAGTTAGCCATTGATCATGATATTATATGTACATTATATATTCTGTGAATAAAATAATTTAAATTTAATAAACATTTCCCTTACATCAGTATAGTCAGCAGTAGCAACTGCTAAGAAGATTGTTCTCAAGTGCAAATATATACATGAGGGCCTCTTGACTTTCCGCTCGACGTCTTTAGAGAATGGTTACTCTCCTTCAGAGATGCTCATGAGCAGGAAAGTAAGAGGGACTGTGCCCATTGCTCCTGTCAACCTTTCCCCAAAAACACCAGATCCTAAAACACTGAGATCCAAAGAAGAACAGATAAGAAGTAAAAGGAAAATCCGGTTCGATAAGAGGCATGCAACGAAGGAAAGAGAAGAGCTACAAGATGGACAAATGGTTTATGTCAGGGACAAACAAGTAAAAGGAAAAATCATCTAAAAGCACGAACAGCCCAGGTCTTACATAGTGGAAACGAAAAACGGAGGAAGATTAAGAAGAAACCGAGTTCATTTATCGGATATTAAAAATTAAGCTCAGTAAACCTACTCCAGACACTCGACATGTGAGAGGAGGATCTGCTGGTCTCTTTATCCTCTTGATCTGTCATTAATATAAATCATATGTTTTATTTAAATGTTAAGTTATATTGGAGTTTGGTATACAAGAAGTATAGTAGTTGAATGTTGTGATTATTATGTTGACACAATAATAGCTATTTACCTTACAAGTGTAGTAAGAGCGTTCTTACATCACGCAGGTGAATGTTGTGCAACGAGCGGAAGCGAGTTGCATAATTTACCTAAGTAATGTAAACACGCTCTTGCGTAACGTGTAACGTACAAGATTTTACCTGACCCGACAATATACAGAAGGTTACGAACAGTATTTTTCACTATCCATTTCACTCATCTTCTAACAGTAACGTTCATTTACAAACAAAAGCTAGGTTAGGAAAATTCTTCAAAACATAACAATAAAATTCAAGCCCACAAACTTCCCTATCCCAAGCGTGATGTATACAACTTCCTTACTTCCCGAGTGATGTAAAGCTGAAAAAAACTCACTCGGTGATGTAATGAAACCCATTTAAATAACATTGAGTGCTTAACTTAAAAAATATACCTCTATGGAGGCATCGACGTTCAACGCTAGAAATCAGCTGTGGGCTTGAATGTTATTGTTATGCTTTAAAGTATTTCCCTAACCTAGCTTTTGTTTGTAAAAGAACGTTCTTGTTAGACGATGACTGAAATGGATAATGAAAAATATTGTACGTAGCCCCATGTACGTTACACGTTACGCAAGAGCGTGTTTACATCTCTTAGGTGAATTATGCTACTCGCTTCCGCTCGTTGCACAACAGTCACCTGCGTGATGTAAAAACGATCTTACTACACTTGTAAGGTAAATAGCTATTATAATTATCACTGTATTGATTTCAGGAATAACTCACTATGGACTACACCTGTTTTTTTAATTTTGATGACGGTATGTGGATGATTATCTGGATAATCTTTGAGTGTTTTTATATAAAAAATATTGGAAGAATTCCACTGATTGTGATGTAGTTCTTTCAACTTTTAACGAAATGCCCCAACTCGCAATCCTCAACAAATTACGGTTAAAATGTTTGTGATATTTTCCATTACAACCCATAGTTATGCCCAGCGCCTACCAAATGATTTTCCCTACAATAATGGTAGGAAGTTAAATTTTAACGACAGGCTAATGGGGTAAGTATGTGCTAAGACAGTTTTATTGCATTGTTTATTAAAATTACCGTTACTAAGTTGCCTTATTTAATTACTGATATAGTAATATTATAATTTACAAGGAAGATTATAAAGGATTTTCATTATTTAGAAGAATAAAATTATAATTTCTTATTACAATGCATTGGAGTAATTTGTACAGAATCCTACCATCTGAGGGAAATCACCAAATGATAGGTTATCACAGCAAACACCATCGCAGAGTCGCAGAGGGGTCGGGTGGCGCAGTGCTCCTGGCCGTTCTGCGAGGGAAGGTGTCTGAGGGGATGGACTTTGCAGACTCACAGTGTCGCGCAGTTATCATCACAGGACTGCCGTACCCTCCGTTCAGAGATCCGCGTGTTGTGCTTAAACGAGAGTACATGAAGAACGTGCAAAATAAAAACGGAATGGCTCTGTCAGAGCACCAGTGGTACTTATCGGAGGGTACAAAAGCTGTCAACCAGGCCGTGGGGCGACTGATCCGTCACGGGAGCGACTTTGGTGCGCTGTTACTCTGCGACTATCGCTTTGAGAAAGAGAGTGTCACCAAAGATCTCTCCGCCTGGATGCGACCCCACATCAACAAGAATGCAGAGTTCGGACCTGTTTATGAAAGAGTGTCCAAATTCTTTAAAGACATGGAGGTCAATAGAACCGGGGAGGATATCAAAAAAGCTGTTTGTGACAGTTGTCCTAATAAACTGACGGATTCTTATGTTGAACCTGCTCAGAAAAAGCGCAAACTAAAGAATCAACCGCTTGAGTTTGACTCAACGAGCTCGGAAAGTTCTGATACAGCTTCCACCCAGCAACCGGCCAAGAGCACGGTTGAGTATGTCCGAGAGGTTAAAAGTACACTCGAGAAAGAAGAGTTTAAGATTTTCAAAGAAGCAGTGAAAAACTATGGTTCTAACAGTGAAAACTACAGCAGTTTGGTTTTAAATCTTCGTAAAGTATTCTCGGATCCGTCAAGAAAGGACTTGTTCATTGAGTTCAAGAACTTTATCAAGGCTGAACACGTCATCAACTTCGATGATCTGTGTTTGAAACTGTTTGGTTCATCTTCGCTATGATTAGTGTTTCGATTCCTAAACTCAACTAGACTGATCTCTGTGATAACTTCATGCTGTGTTGTTTATTCTGACTTTGTAGTTATTCTGACTCTGTGATAAGTCTCACGTCTGTAATATGTTAACTTTTGTGATATATTCAACTCAGGTACCTACTTATTTTTATAATTTTGATAATGAATTACTATACTAACGTTATTAATTAATGTACATATTAAATTTATCATGGTTGAAAAAAAAAAATTCACTTCTTTACACTACCCAGTACCCCTGTATAGGCCAATCACCGGAGAGTAGGTAGGCAAGATTTAATTTAGAATTATTATTCTTCAACACCAAGCTAACAGCTAAGATGGTGTTTGCTGTGATAACCTATCATTTGGTGATTTCCCTCAGATGGTAGGATTCTGTACAAATTACTCCAATGCATTGTAATAAGAAATTATAATTTTATTCTTCTAAATAATGAAAATCCTTTATAATCTTCCTTGTAAATTATAATATTACTATATCAGTAATTAAATAAGGCAACTTAGTAACGGTAATTTTAATAAACAATGCAATAAAACTGTCTTAGCACATACTTACCCCATTAGCCTGTCGTTAAAATTTAACTTCCTACCATTATTGTAGGGAAAATCATTTGGTAGGCGCTGGGCATAACTATGGGTTGTAATGGAAAATATCACAAACATTTTAACCGTAATTTGTTGAGGATTGCGAGTTGGGGCATTTCGTTAAAAGTTGAAAGAACTACATCACAATCAGTGGAATTCTTCCAATATTTTTTATATAAAAACACTCAAAGATTATCCAGATAATCATCCACATACCGTCATCAAAATTAAAAAAACAGGTGTAGTCCATAGTGAGTTATTCCTGAAATCAATACAGTGATAATTATAATAGCTATTTACCTTACAAGTGTAGTAAGATCGTTTTTACATCACGCAGGTGACTGTTGTGCAACGAGCGGAAGCGAGTAGCATAATTCACCTAAGAGATGTAAACACGCTCTTGCGTAACGTGTAACGTACATGGGGCTACGTACAATATTTTTCATTATCCATTTCAGTCATCGTCTAACAAGAACGTTCTTTTACAAACAAAAGCTAGGTTAGGGAAATACTTTAAAGCATAACAATAACATTCAAGCCCACAGCTGATTTCTAGCGTTGAACGTCGATGCCTCCATAGAGGTATATTTTTTAAGTTAAGCACTCAATGTTATTTAAATGGGTTTCATTACATCACCGAGTGAGTTTTTTTCAGCTTTACATCACTCGGGAAGTAAGGAAGTTGTATACATCACGCTTGGGATAGGGAAGTTTGTGGGCTTGAATTTTATTGTTATGTTTTGAAGAATTTTCCTAACCTAGCTTTTGTTTGTAAATGAACGTTACTGTTAGAAGATGAGTGAAATGGATAGTGAAAAATACTGTTCGTAACCTTCTGTATATTGTCGGGTCAGGTAAAATCTTGTACGTTACACGTTACGCAAGAGCGTGTTTACATTACTTAGGTAAATTATGCAACTCGCTTCCGCTCGTTGCACAACATTCACCTGCGTGATGTAAGAACGCTCTTACTACACTTGTAAGGTAAATAGCTATTATTGTGTCAACATAATAATCACAACATTCAACTACTATACTTCTTGTATACCAAACTCCAATATAACTTAACATTTAAATAAAACATATGATTTATATTAATGACAGATCAAGAGGATAAAGAGACCAGCAGATCCTCCTCTCACATGTCGAGTGTCTGGAGTAGGTTTACTGAGCTTAATTTTTAATATCCGATAAATGAACTCGGTTTCTTCTTAATCTTCCTCCGTTTTTCGTTTCCACTATGTAAGACCTGGGCTGTTCGTGCTTTTAGATGATTTTTCCTTTTACTTGTTTGTCCCTGACATAAACCATTTGTCCATCTTGTAGCTCTTCTCTTTCCTTCGTTGCATGCCTCTTATCGAACCGGATTTTCCTTTTACTACTTATCTGTTCTTCTTTGGATCTCAGTGTTTTAGGGATCTGGTGTTTTTGGGAAAAGGTTGACAGGAGCAATGGGCACAGTCCCTCTTACTTTCCTGCTCATGAGCATCTCTGAAGGAGAGTAACCATTCTCTAAAGACGTCGAGCGGAAAGTCAAGAGGCCCTCATGTATATATTTGCACTTGAGAACAATCTTCTTAGCAGTTGCTACTGCTGACTATACTGATGTAAGGGAAATGTTTATTAAATTTAAATTATTTTATTCACAGAATATATAATGTACATATAATATCATGATCAATGGCTAACTAGTTTCACTATTTTACACTTCACCTTGTTGGCAGAACTGGAGAACAGCTGTTAATTAACTAAAGTCATTTTTGTAATGAGCTGTTTCTTCAAATCTTTCTTAGTTGGCTGATTCCCTTAAAAATTGTACAAACTCGTAAAAATGTAAGTAGTAAACATTTTAAAAATAAGAAAATTGATTTATGTGGTTTTGTATTGTAAATAATCTTGATTGCCATGTTTTTACCTATGATTATATATAATCTTTTGATTGTCTGTCAGTTAGTAACTTTGTAAATGTCAAATATTAAATACTCAACTTTCATGTTACATTTGGATGAAAAAGCACATGTTCTGAGAATATTTTGTAAATTGTAAAATCACCTTAAATTAATTATGTTTGCCTCAACTATGTGAAATTAGTATTACTTTAGTTTATCTGTTATTATTTCTTTTGGAATTGTTACAGACGAGTTCAAGCATTAGGCCTACTGTACTTGAAACAGTCATAGTCCGTAGGAACTGGGAATCACAGCCTATTTAAGACAGTCAGATCATAGGAATTTTACCAAGTAAGACTGTTGCCTTATTTAATAACTGATATAGTAATATTATAATTTACAAGGAAGATTATAAAGGATTTTCATTATTTAGAAGAATAAAATTATAATTTCTTATTACAATGCATTGGAGTAATTTGTACAGAATCCTACCATCTGAGGGAAATCACCAAATGATAGGTTATCACAGCAAACACCATCTTAGCTGTTAGCTTGGTGTTGAAGAATAATAATTCTAAATTAAATCTTGCCTACCTACTCTCCGGTGATTGGCCTATACAGGGGTACTGGGTAGTGTAAAGAAGTGAATTTTTTTTTTTCAACCATGATAAATTTAATATGTACATTAATTAATAACGTTAGTATAGTAATTCATTATCAAAATTATAAAAATAAATAGGTACCTGAGTTGAATATAACACAAAAGTTAACATATTACAGACGTGAGACTTATCACAGAGTCAGAATAACAACAAAGTCAGAATAAACAACACAGCATGAAGTTATCACAGAGATCAGTCTAGTTGAGTTTAGGAATCGAAACACTAATCATAGCGAAGATGAACCAAACAGTTTCAAACACAGATCATCGAAGTTGCTGACGTGTTCAGCCTTGATAAAGTTCTTGAACTCAATGAACAAGTCCTTTCTTGACGGATCCGAGAATACTTTACGAAGATTTAAAACCAAACTGTCGTAGTTTTCACTGTTAGAACCATAGTTTTTCACTGCTTCTTTGAAAATCTTAAACTCTTCTTTCTCGAGTGTACTTTTAACCTCTCGGACATACTCAACCGTGCTCTTGGCCGGTTGCTGGGTGGAAGCTGTATCAGAACTTTCCGAGCTCGTTGAGTCAAACTCAAGCGGTTGATTCTTTAGTTTGCGCTTTTTCTGAGCAGGTTCAACATAAGAATCCGTCAGTTTATCAGGACAACTGTCACAAACAGCTTTTTTGATATCCTCCCCGGTTCTATTGACCTCCATGTCTTTAAAGAATTTGGACACTCTTTCATAAACAGGTCCGAACTCTGCATTCTTGTTGATGTGGGGTCGCATCCAGGCGGAGAGATCTTTGGTGACACTCTCTTTCTCAAAGCGATAGTCGCAGAGGGGTCGGGTGGCGCAGTGCTCCTGGCCGTTCTGCGAGGGAAGGTGTCTGAGGGGATGGACTTTGCAGACTCACAGTGTCGCGCAGTTATCATCACAGGACTGCCGTACCCTCCGTTCAGAGATCCGCGTGTTGTGCTTAAACGAGAGTACATGAAGAACGTGCAAAATAAAAACGGAATGGCTCTGTCAGAGCACCAGTGGTACTTGTCGGAGGGTACAAAAGCTGTCAACCAGGCCGTGGGGCGACTGATCCGTCACGGGAGCGACTTTGGTGCGCTGTTACTCTGCGACTATCGCTTTGAGAAAGAGAGTGTCACCAAAGATCTCTCCGCCTGGATGCGACCCCACATCAACAAGAATGCAGAGTTCGGACCTGTTTATGAAAGAGTGTCCAAATTCTTTAAAGACATGGAGGTCAATAGAACCGGGGAGGATATCAAAAAAGCTGTTTGTGACAGTTGTCCTGATAAACTGACGGATTCTTATGTTGAACCTGCTCAGAAAAAGCGCAAACTAAAGAATCAACCGCTTGAGTTTGACTCAACGAGCTCGGAAAGTTCTGATACAGCTTCCACCCAGCAACCGGCCAAGAGCACGGTTGAGTATGTCCGAGAGGTTAAAAGTACACTCGAGAAAGAAGAGTTTAAGATTTTCAAAGAAGCAGTGAAAAACTATGGTTCTAACAGTGAAAACTACAGCAGTTTGGTTTTAAATCTTCGTAAAGTATTCTCGGATCCGTCAAGAAAGGACTTGTTCATTGAGTTCAAGAACTTTATCAAGGCTGAACACGTCATCAACTTCGATGATCTGTGTTTGAAACTGTTTGGTTCATCTTCGCTATGATTAGTGTTTCGATTCCTAAACTCAACTAGACTGATCTCTGTGATAACTTCATGCTGTGTTGTTTATTCTGACTTTGTAGTTATTCTGACTCTGTGATAAGTCTCACGTCTGTAATATGTTAACTTTTTTTATATATTCAACTCAGGTACCTACTTATTTTTATAATTTTGATAATGAATTACTATACTAACGTTATTAATTAATG